CGACTGTCATTGTCCTGAGACAGTTTCCTTATTGCTACAAAGTACTGATTCCTATTCATTGCACTCACTAAATATGTGGGTAATATGAATTTTTCAGTCCTATTCAATTTGAGGACTTTTTGGCGGGAACGCGAGGAGTGAAGTTGTGTGGTTTGTTTTATTTTGTCTATTTAGTGTTTCTTCGGGTTTAAATGTGTAATAATGGTGGTTTGTTAACTGTTTAATATCTGTGAAAGAGCACAAATGTGGGAAAATGAAACAAAGCCGCTGGACGTAACTTCTCGGGATCCTCCAAAAAGTCCACTGAAAAAATCTTAGTAAATGATCACCATTTTACTGAGATTATATTTCATCCTATATCATCTTATTTCATTTCATTTAATTTCATCCCAGTTGATTAATGTCTCAAATTAATCATCTTCATTTCATTTCACTCCATAATATCATTTTTCATAAAAAAATGAATATAAATTAAAATAAGACATGACTTAAAGGTCTTAGTTACCAGGTCATAAAATCCCTAAAAAAAAAAAATTTTCAATTTGATGGTATCAAAATTTTGTTCGTTGAAAGCAAATGTGGGTAGCGGCAACGTATATTGTGATCGTCATTTACACAACTCAAGAAAAATAAAACGTCCTTAATAGAGGGTTTAATACGGTTTTATTTTTTGTAGTTTGTCTCAAAAACTTTGCTACGAGGGCTATAATTTCCTATACTTGCAACTTTGGGAGCTTTTTGGATGAACATTTGGGTTGGGAAAACTCTCCTTTTTATTTAAAGGTGCGTTATATGTATGTATCTTTATCCTTACCTTTATCCTCACCTTGTATGTATCTTTATTGAAATTAATTCTTATGTATGTAGTAGCTGTAACACAAACAAGTCCTTTGTTATATAACTTACGTACATATGTGCGTATAAACACGCGCAAACTTCTGGACAGTCGGATTAAAACGAGTCTAAGGTTTGATTGCGAAAAAATAATATTAAAGAAATTAATCTGAGAAAAAACAACATTTGTGATTATATATTTTGGCTAACAAGATGCTTCGGTGGCTTCTGTGATTCCTGAGTTTGGTATTCACGTATCAATAGTTTATTATAAAATATCAGACGTTAGATAAAAGCTGGTACCGACTGCTTTATTGAGGTACGACATTAAGGCATAATTGCGAGTACATCTTGGCCTCAGATATCCATGTAGATTTTTTTTTGTTGCTCTGGTGGGTGAACGAGCTCACAGCCCACCTAGTGTTAAGTGGTTACTGGAGCCCATGGGCATCTACAACGTAAATACGCCACCCACCTTGAGGTATAAGATCTAAGGTCTCAAGTATAGTTACAACGGCTGCCCTACCCTTCAAACCGATACGCATTACTGCTTCACGGCAGAAATAGGCAGGGTGGTGGTACCTACCCGCGCGGACTCACAAGAGGTCCTACCACCAGTAAAAATTGCGAGTACATCTTGGTCTCAGACATCCATGTAGATTTTCTATCTATTTTATAATACTTCAATTAAAACATATCATTTATTTATGATAACACTATGAGTAAAGAAACAAAAATACAAACATTTTTATAACAGCTAACTGTACTCGTGCAAACACCGACTTTCGTGGTGCCTGCGATGAATATGTAAGTACCAACAAAAAATCCTTAAAATTACACAGAAAAAATTACATTATTAATCTTGATAAAAAATCTAATTTCACTGTGAAAGCTTTTCCTAAATGCAAGCTTGTAATTTCGGGGTTTCCTTGTTCGAGTTTGTCGGTATGTTTTATACCGTGTTTGATAATTTTAACGGGTTAAGTGGGGTACGGATTAACGCGTATATCTATACTAATATTATAAAGAGGAAATATTTGTTTGTTTGTTTTGAATAAGTTCCGAAACTTCTGAACCGATATGAAATTCTTTCACTGTTTGGAAGCTACACTATTCCCGAGTGACATAGACTAATAATCTTTGTTGAAAAAAATTAGGGATCCTTACTAAAACTCCAATAATGTAACCCTAGGTGTAAAAAAATTACCTAAAATATTCTTTACACCGCGTGCCCTGCGAAAACTATTCATGATAGAATAAAATAATGTACTACGACTTTGTAGAATACATTATTATATACAAAAAATGTCAAAACCCCATATGTCTAACTATTATAGTTATGCCGCAATAAGTGTTCTTTTATTTTAAAAAATAAAACAATGTCAAATATCGTTGAAATTTTTGTTAAAGAGTAAAGACCCGAGCGGAGCCGGAACGGGCCGCTAAAAAATATAGAGAGATTTTTTCATTTTGCAGTCTTTAGTGTTCAGTAACGAAATGATATGATCGATTGAACTAAAGCTGAAAAGCCGTTTTCTTATTTGTATTTGTTTGTGACTAATGGCTGTTTTTATGTTAAGTATTCCCAAACACTTAACAAGTGTATTATGTAGACTTCTCCTAAGTCGAGAACCTCATTTCATTGAAGGTCGTTTCTATAGTTTCATGAGGTTCTTGTCCATTCGGAGATCTCCGCATGACAACTAGACTGTCTACTGTTAGATAGACAGACACTCCGAGTTTACGGAGACCGTATAATGCCACTATGAAATTTAATATTATTATAGTCACAAAACAAATCTGTTACTTTACATCTTCCTTGACTTTGCGTAGATAATTAAATATCAAATATTAAGTACTTGATAACCATACCATACACCTAATGTAACGGAGTAAATCAGTTCATTATTAATATTGAGCACTATGATTAAAATCATTAAGATAGATCAAGATCAAGATCAAAATAGTTTTAGACTACGAATAGCTTTAGGTCTCAAAATCGACGTTTCCAAAAAATATATAAAAAAAACGATTTCGTTACCTCCTATGTCAGTATAATTCTTTATGGACCTTGGCCTTTTCTCGGTGACTCTCTAAAAAACTTGCATACGCTCGCTCACACGTCCCGTAAACACATTAACATTTAAGCTCATCAAGAACCAATCACCGTCCTCGTCGAACTCGGCAAAGAGTTCAGCGTGTGAACTAGCCCATAGACAACCCAGTGAGTTTCTCGCCGGATCTTCTCCGTGGGTCGCGATTCCGATCCGGTGGTAGTTTGAGCGAAGCACTACTGTTGTTAGGGTCAGTGCTAGCAATTCTCTTAAGTTGAGCTCTTGAGCTCACTTACCGGTCCATAAGTAGTTGGCATAATATTGTAAATTGTATATATATATTGTTGGCATAATAGTTGGCTTTAGGCTAATGTAGGAACACAGTTTGAGTAGCTCATGCGGTTGTACATCGCTGGTTAAAGTCAGTCGTATATAGCCCGCCTGACACATCAGACACTTGTGACAATATACGGAGTAAAATCGGAACTAGCTTGTTTTATTTATAAAGGACAGTTAGCACCTTTACTATGCCTTATAAACCGTACACCTAACAACGATTATACAGGGGAAAAAGGGCAGTCGTCAAACTAGATACGAACTTTCGAAATGAAGATGCCCATTCAGAAAAGAAGAAGATGGTCACACAACACCTCAAAAACACATTTATCTCTTCCATTTCCTGAATTAACAAAAATGCCTAACACTTGCAATCTTTACTTTAATATGCATTCAACAAAATAATTTTATTGTCACAAAACGTCTAATGAAATGTTCAGTCGAAGCCAAAATTCTGTGCCCTCAATTTCAACAAACTGACGAAATGTATTTTGTATATTGCGCTTAAGAGTTTTTGACCCTTTTATTTAAGTTATCAATGCTCGAGGTCTGTTGGCGGAGTCTCTGTTAATTTTGTTTGGCTCATTTCCTGTGGTTGGGCTGAGTACGAATTACATCAAAACACTTAATTATCCAAAATTTACAACGGCCCAATTTAAACACAAACCAAACCGGCCTCTGTAAATGGTACTGAAATTGTTAATATAATCTTAACAATTTTACAATGGATATTTTTATTTAATAAGACCAGTAACGAACACGGTTTCATTGTGCGTTCGTTCTATTCTTGTTAGCTTTGTAACATCAATCCTAAATTTGATAACCTTTACGATACTACAGAGTAAAGACGAACGAAAGAAGATAGAGATAATCACTGAAATTATTTTTACGTAATGTTATCTAGATTAGAGCCGTCCCACAAAAAAACATATGTCAAAGGGTCGCTAATGGACGACACGTTTAGTTTGATACTATCTTCCAGTTCAATGTAAGTTCTCTCAATTATACAAATTTGATTTATTACGTATTCAGTGTACGTGTGAGTGCAGACCGACGAAGTTAATTAATTTTGACATAGGTCCCAGCTGACAGGAGTCTAGCTGTACACCGCATAGTAATCTGATTTAGCGAATTCTCTCTCCGATTAGCTACAACGATATTCCGTTTCAGTTTTGTCTCAATTCAATTAAGACGAATCGTCAATGGAGATTAGGGCGACGTTACTTTAAATTTTGATTATTATAAATTAAGAAACCTTCAGCTTTTTCTTTGGGAATAAAACAGTCAATTGAAAATGTTATATTAACATTTCGTTTTTTGCTTTAGAAGGTAAATAGGTATAGGACTCACCTGATGGTGTACAGTCGAGTTTTTAGCTACCTTTTCCTCTTTTTAAACCTTATTTCAACAAGAACGTCCCTCGGAAACGTAGGAGGGATAATTGTTTGTTTTGAATAAGCGCAGTGAATAAAATATTGTGTTAAAAATATCAAATATAAGTTTAACGAACTTCTTTGATTTTTGTGAGTCGTTGACATAATTAAAACTAGATACACGGCTTAATCTTCCGCTTATCGTTACATTATATGTATAATATCCGACGTTTCGAATGCTTTATAGGATTCGAGGTGGCAACGATTGAATTCGATAAAAAAATTATAGTAGTACTAACTATAGTCCAATCGGTTTTATAAAAAAAGATGTGTAGTATCGTGGGACACCGGATAGGAACGAAGTTGCATATTATAAAAATATTAATTTTAAATTCAATTCGAGGTATAAAGAAAATAATTATTCGGGTATACATTTTCTATTTATGATTTTTTTATTGATAAAAATAAAAATAATCGCAAGGGTCATCCACTCCGCAGTGCAATGGAGCAGCCTCGCCCTGGGGGAACCGCCTGCATGATCACGGTATCCCTCTACGCCAGGTAAGTATGATTTAGAAAGAGAAATACGAGAACATCTATCAACTATGTAACAGCTCGTCACCGCGATTCAGGAATTATTGAATTTACATACGTGCAGCGACATCTGTCGATAACAAACTAAATAGAAAAAATCTTACGTTACGGACGTTTTTTCCCGGTTATGGTACCCGCATCGTCCCATAAGGAACTTTGTTCCAAAAACATTTCACATTAGACTAGTTGACATTAGAAGCCCCTCTACTTTGCCCGGGTTCTAACCTCGGGTGGAGATCGGACGTCGCGTTAGAGAGTGCAAGGGAAATCGTTTGGTGGGTAGAGGCTAAAAACTTACTTGGGTATGCCGTCCGCTCCTAACATCTGCGGATCGTCATGACCCACGGACACCGCGCGACCTCTAAGCGCGGAAACCTTATGTATGAGGTTCGCCCCTGCCTCAAAAAAAATTAGACAGATGGTTCTGGGTATTAGATAAGCTGCAACCGATAGAAGCTAGGCAATTCTAGAAACGATTAAATGAGACACGGGATATTTCAAATTGGGTGACTGCATTCTGTCTAGAAGCTCTTTTAATCACTAAAAACCCATGAAATTTTCTAGTCATCTACAATAATAAGAGCCTGATAATATTTTTAGTAATCCTACCTAGTTGAACAGTTTCATTCAAATCCTGCTATCTTCGGATGTTATAATTTTCATAATCTCAAAAACAGTATTTTTAGTTGTTTTAGGTAATATGGCTCTACTGGCATACCCATGGTCGATGTGTGACTAACAAACGCGATATTATTCTGTTCAGTTTCTGACTCTACAGCGTGACTATGTCACCGGATCTATCGAAGCACTGTTTTTGCTAGGGCTACTGTAACGTCCACAGGTTAGAGCTCTCCTATTCGCCCGATGAATCTAGTATGACCCCTCTAGATCATTAGAACAGATAGAAAAAAAGCGGCTCGTAACCCAAACTTCGCGAATCGAATCTTACGTTGCTAACCCATTGCCCTCAAGAAATGTTTACTAACAAGTAGCAAAAAAAGGGTCTCTTAAATTTGATATTCATTCGTCTACTCTTGCAAACCAATAAAACACCGGGATTTAATTAGACTTTCCTGAATATTACTAGCTACGTTACCGCAAACTTAATGAGATAAGACATCTTTTTTATCTGCAGAAATAAATAAGCGAGTACTCTCAATTTGATCATCCAATGTTTTGTATCAGAAATTTGGATTGAATTACAGTAACGAGCGCCTTGTTCTTGTAAGTTGCTAAAAAAATCTCTGGTAATAGTGAACGTCAAAAGATAGGTTGTTTTTTCTTTACCATTAATATGATTAATTGATAATAAAAGACAATAATTAAATCACAATAGACCGTCATTTATTCGGCCGAATATTTCTTTGCCTCGGCGTTCTTGTTGTCCCGAAAATGTCACTTTCATTTTCGCGAATATGTTTGCGATCAATAAACAATAATCGTCCGACATTTCAAAGCTTCTAGCGTACGTTTTCTCTTACGCTATAGGCTTTTAGGCGAACACATACATAAGAGCAAGTATTTCAACCGGGAAACCGAACCCCGACCCCGTTAACGTTTTTAATTACCGAACCAACAAAGCTATGAGCGTAATCAGAGTGTCGTACGTTAATAATGCTCCAATTCATCGAGGGAATCCGGGTACGAAGCTCGGTACATCTCTAGCTACTGCTACTTTATTAATGTAACTACATAATATATTAGCAGTATCATTTCTTTGATTTCCTTCTCCTTCCCAAAGTATTAGTGGGAACTAACCTATTTCTATTTCTTACAGCGAGCTCATATCTTCATGGTTCTACCACTTTTGTCTAATCTTATCTGAGTGTGACATATATAATAAGATGTGTTGAATAAGCTTTGTGTTTTACTCAAACCACCATCATGGCCTATAAGATAAAACATGTAGCGGTAGCTATCACAGAATATTGGAAATTTGCAATAACCTACATCAGACCAACGGTATTTTCATGATAAGCTTGCATTACACAAGTTTCAAATAAAGATTAAACTGTCTATAGATTAAAGATAGATTAAAGAATAAATAAAGATTAAACTGATATATCAAGTCTACCTATATTGGGCTGCTGGTGTTCTTAAGATCATCCCTTTGTCGTTTTTCCCGCAACCAGTATCTTAGTATACGTGACTATGCCGGTGTTGTTAAGTGCCACATTTACATTGTGTCGTATCGAAGCGATGTTTAGTAAATCAACAACATATAAATCTAATGTCGAGATTTAGTTGCTTTGAACTCCCAATGAGTTCACGTAGTCTCACTTCTATTATATAATAGGAACGAACCATTCCTTCGCGAATTTCAAGATTTACGTCTGTTAACTTATTTTGGCTGCTTTTCGTTTCTGATATTTAATGTAATATATTTTTCAAATTTGTTTCTTTATTTCGATATTTCTACATTCTGATCAAAACATTACGGATAAATTTAACATTAACGTCAAGAAGCCTGTTAAAAGATATTCAATTTGCTCATGAATAATATTACCATGTTTCCGTATAATGGAAACATGAAAATAATTATCAAGGCTGTCACTTCTTATTGTTGTTTTTAAATAAGTAAATTTAATAATTACTAATAATCTGTGAGCTAATAAGTAATTTATAATACCTATAAGATTACTGAAAAATATTTGGGAACTTTCAAGAATTCAACATAACAAAGTGTTCCAAATCCGATGAATGTTATGGCACGCATGACCGTTTCTTAGCAGAAAGAGGCAATAAGTAGTTAGTCAGTTTTTTTTATTGCCTTTGTAGGTAGACGGGCATACGGCCCACCTGACGGTGAATGGTTGCCGTCGCCCATGGACTTCAGCAATGCCAGGGGCAGAGCCAAGCCGCTGCCTACCGGTAATCTATTTAGTCAATATCAAGATATCATTATCAAGACAAGATAAAAAAAAAATCCAGTACCTAACTTCACAAATATTCTGGGATACAATTAGTAAGAAAGCAGTATTCAGGAAAAATCATTAAAACGATTTTAATACAAAAAGCTATATTTACCTTGACTTATATCTACTTGTGGTAGTCCACACGAGTAAGTACCATCTCCTGCCTATTTTTGCCGTGCGGTTTGAAAGTTAGGGCAGTCGTTATACTGCAAAACTGACACTTCGAACTCATGTCCCAAGGTGGGCAGTTCAGATTGTCGATAATACCATTCTCACGGATCGTTTGGAACCCTAAGTATACGGTGATATATTTGTACTTTGACGATTTCTTTCCCATTACCTCCATTTTATCATCGCATCATTCGCTTGATGCAGAATTATTCCATACTACCTCGAAACACTGCGCTCATCCTTAGACAAATTCGCAGAGGATCTCACGGCGCTGTCTATTGTCACGATTTCTTTACATGCAGTAAAATAGTCAGTCAAGATCCAGGTGCATTGACAATCTGCATCTGCAACTGCAAATGAACATTATTATAGTTAAGGATAAGAAGAAAAAAGCATCCAATTTCACTACACCTATTTCACAAAGTTTAAATCTGCGGAAAGCTTGCCAGTGCAGGGTTAAAGCGTGCTCTTGTGCAGGTAACGCCAGCGCGAAAACACGGTAAAGAGGATATGTAATACGAAAGAAGATGTTGGACAAAAAAAAAACTAGTATTTTGAAAGTCTTACATAAATATTCTTAGTTAAATATTAAACGATTGTACTGAAGAAACTTCAGACATTGCTTTCTGTAACGCGCTTTCAAGTGTTAATGAAATGAATGGCGGCGGTCTGTGGATTTTGGATTTATTAGAAGCCCAATGTTTATCACAACACTATAAAATGCGACCGACTGAGTAGTCGAACTTGGCCAAGCGACTGAACCTGTCAGTACGTGGCCTTTTATAAAACTAACAATAATCGTGTACACGATAGGATTATTGCCTACGTTTACCATATAGTGGCCGATTTTTTAATTGCCTTCAAGGTAGACGGATAAGACGACGGATGGAGATCACTTATACTCGTAATCACTTTGGGATTTTTTTTGGATCTGGATCACGCAAGTCACAGTACATCATCCTTCCCAAGGCTACATTCATTTCAAGGTATAATCCGAACCGATCCTACCGAGAACATTATTCTGTATTAATTTTATTGCATTTGCTATTTTGAATATCGTTAAGAATTCTTTCTGCATCTACTTTTTCTTTAAAGTTTGAAATGGGATACAGTAACTGTTAAATAATATAAAAAATCACGGATTTTCATTACCGTGGCCTGTTATTTACTTACAGAAAATTGTTTCAGAATTTAAATGTAATCGTTGACGCGAAATCTTCAAGGTGCGTCTTCCATTTTATTTTTCCTCTCGTTTTATCAATTATTTATTAAGATTATGAATATTTCATTTCAGTTCGCGTTGATGAATCTTTGTAATGTAAGGCAGTGGATGTAACAATTTCGTCTTAAATCTAAGATCAAAAGCTGTAAAAGAGAAAGAGTAAAAGGTCGGATTTGGCGAGTGTTTGTTAACGACGAGAGCGAAGGATCCGTACTTGAATACGCTTGAATTACAAAGATGTTGGGAGTTCTTGACCTCGCTAATGATTGACGAAAAATTCCTTCACTAATGGTTGAAAACGTTTCAGTGCCCTTTTTATTAATGAAGGATATAATATCATGACAAATTTTAACACGTTGACTGCGTTATACGTCAAAAACGAACTTTTGTCTTCTGTCTGTCTTAGGTCTTTCAAGTCTCATACGCACTGTAAAGAAGTCCAATCTTTCCTCGAAAAGACCTCATGTGCCCTGGCTGAAAGTCCCTTAAACTGGTCTCGTAGTCAAAGTGTTAATGACAAGATAGGAGTACGCGATCTGTGATCTCACCGTCGCCAGTACATCTCACAATCAAAATCAATCATTTAATATTCCTATAAATAGTAGAAATTGTAAACAACTGTACAACGTGGGAGTACCAGACAGTTTCGTGTTCATCATACGAGAAT